GTTAAGAAGTATGTGGTAAAAAAGCATATGAAACACGAACAGTATAAAGAAGCATTATTCAATGGTAGAACATTCAAACACGAGATGAACTCTTTAAGAAGTGTCAATCACAGGATATATGGATTAAGAATGAACAAGACATCATTATCCCCCTTAGATACAAAGAGATGGATTGATGAGGATGGTGTAACTACCTATGCTTATGGTTATGGGGTAATACTGTATCGTTGTAAACTGTGAGCAACTCTCCTTGTACAAATCCCCTGCCCGATCCATCTTTAAGATAATAAAGAATAGGCTCTCCTTCTTTCATAAACAACCGACTAATGTTATATATCCAAACCGGATCGGTTGCACAACGTTTGCCTCCATCGAGTTCATCGTGCTGGTATAAATATCTTACGCTTACTCTATCCGGAAGTTTTTGTTCTTTGCCTCTCCTCAGTGCTGAAGATTCGGAAGTCACAGATTTAATTTTAATCACATTGGATGGTTTCTTCCTGATTAATCTCGTTACTTCATTATTCAGTGCTGATACAACAGCTGATAATAGTGTGACCCATTTGGTTGATTTTAAACATTCCGATTTCATTTCAATCCCATACTGATATCCAAACAAACGTTCCGCCAATGTCCAGTTCAATCTTTCAAGGATAGCTTGACTACAGTGGGCCTCTTTTTCACCACGCCTGATTTCGACATCGTGCTTTGTTAATAGTTTAGTTACTGATCCCATAAACTCGCAACCAGGATCTACTTGAAATAACTTGTGCATTAGCTACTTCTGTTGAATCTTTCGAGGTTAATGGTTCAGCCTCCTTGTATCAACTAGCCACATCCACTACGGTTAAAGCGTATTTATACGTTTTGCGTCTTACCTTATCATGGGGAAGAAACAAGAGGTTGGCCTGATGAACTTCTTCCTCCGTATATAACGCGGTGCTGGTAAGTAATATTTGCCACATCACTTGTTTCTTTAGCCAATCCTTGGCCACATCTTTAGATACCATAGCCGTGGTGGCTAATTTTTGTATTGCTCCTATACCTTTCCAATATCCTCATGGGCTATAGTAAATTTTATCCATTATTAATTAATATTGATGTTTCTTTTAATACGAATCATGGCGATCGTTGAACTGCATCATCACTTTGCATAAAAATTCCCTCTGTATTGCAGTATAGGTATATAAATCTGGCTCCAGTGGAAGTGGTCCAGAACTGTCATTGTCTATACTACTTATCTCCTTTGTTACATCCTATAGTCCACCATTCGAGCACTGTCTCTCTTCAAGTACACATGCGTTTCGCTGTATCTAATCGCTTTCCCACCCACCCACCAACCCAGCTTGCCTCCCTTATCTTTCCTTTTCAGCCGGTATGTGTCCTCTTCGCCTGGAATTCTAATCACTTCTTTTCTTCAGCGAGCATCTATTACAGGTACCAGCAGAGCAGATTGTATATGTAAATAAACCTGTACATATGTAAATTAGGTTTTTCGGGGCGCTTGTATATATGTAAATGACTACCTTTCAAACGATTCTGATATATTTAAAGAAACAAGCCTTCTTAATAGCTGTATATATGTATATGTGTGAATATGTAAAATAAACATGCCTTCTCAATAGCTGTATATATGTTTATATGTGAATTCATGTCTCAAAAATAAACTATGTCGAAGTGTGCGGGGTTCTTGTGGGCTACACTGCTAGTAACAAATTACCTTGCTTCCAAATTAATACTTGGGCTTCAGGCTACCTACTTTTCAGTGGGAACCTTTCCGGGGTTACCTGCTTCTCTGTGGGAACCTTGTCTTTCCGGACTTTTGAGCTGGGGAATCGAATCGCTGTTGGCCACGCTAGTGGCCATGGCTAGTAGCCCACTAGTACCTGCACACTGGTGGCTAGTAGCCAACTAGTACCTGCACACCCTCGGCCATTTAATCCAATCTCATCTTGTGTTTTATTATAGGCGCAGGCATCCACAGCTTGGTGGCCCGTGCCTCTCCTTGGCATATCGCGGGATAATGCAGGTAATTTCATATCAGTTACTGTATGAAAGATAAAAATGTATGTAGTCACCGTTTGATTGGAAATATTTATTTCCTGTGCACGTATTAATCAGGTATCCGGTGTCCTGTATTCTAGCCACTCCTAGTAGACAATAAGGTACAAAAGGTTAACTAACTTTTCAAAGCTGTAGCTGCCTGAAGATCCAGCCCCCTCCCCTATTTCTCTCCAGTCACGAAGAGGGAGGCTACAGTGTGATGACCAATACTGTAATTGCACAGTAGGTCAGGTAGAATATCTCTCAAAGTGGTGAATGTGTTATGTGAGCGCAGGATACCACCTGCTCCACTAATACCACCTGCTCCACCAATACTGTGTTTCATGAAGCGAGGTTGGTGGACAGTGCCCATTTACTGTCAGAAATGGTTGATTTAAGTCATTTTTTGATGGTTGCAGTAGTAATGTACTTGTCTGATGCTGGCCTGCATGATATAAATAAATGCTTCCTGTGCCTCTGGCTTGCTGTTGTGTAAAAATGGAGAGCTCGGACATGGCATAGATAACGGTGGAATGATGTGATGACACCAGCCACAAACCAGTTAATGTAAGCACCCATATCCATAGCATAACGGATGTCAGAATAAAATCTTGGAGTCCCATCAGAATAAGTGGTGATCATATAAGGCGACCTGACTAAATTCTACATCCAATGTAGGTGTATAGTCAAGTCTGGTTAATCTGACACTTGTTAATCAAACAATCGGCTTTATCCGACACTGATGATGGGAACCGATTAAATCAGTGCTATTTAGACCCGTTAATCCGACAGTCTTGCACTCCAACTCCGACACACCTGATTTGCAACGAATTACTGAAATCACTCATTAATCAGTCTTGTTAACTCGACAGTGATCAGCGTGATCCGTGGTCATCTGCCTGTGAGTACACAGCCCGTGTTTTGATGCGAGATGAGTCAGCTGGAAGCTGCATATTACAATGGCTGCAGAGATAAACTTGCTTAACCATAAACAATTAATGCTTTAAATAAAGAAAACATTAAAATCAGATACAAGTTCTCGCTATTGCCGAGGACATCACATGACAGGTCACTTCAGAACAACCTTACACGAACTATGACCAACCAATGAAATGACTTCCAGGAAGTCAATGCTAGCCACTTAGAAAGCAGCTTTCTTAAGCTTTGCGGTACCAGTTTCAAACATGGGACCGTAGAGGTTCCATGATTAGAAAACATATTCTGCTAACAATGTAACATAACAATATGAATATTTCATTTTAATATTTTTATTACGTGTTTGTATCGTTATCTATTGTGTAGTTGTCCGATTTACGATCACAAACCTTGATACTACTTAATTTCTTTTATCCGACATACTCATTAATCCGACATAATCATGTGCAACCAACCATGTCGGATTAACGGGACTTGACTGTATATGGTAATGAAAATCATGGGTTCTGTAAGTACATTGAGTGGCATCTTTTCATCACTCCTGGGTCTCCCATACCAAACAACCACCTGCTTAATGACTGGTGATCTGAAACTAGACCAAGGTAGTGAGTAATGCTTCCGTACTGTGATGGTGGGACCACAACATCCTGCAGACTCTAACATCAGAAAAACTGCCACATCCTCCTCAGAAGGCTTTATGTATGGCATCAGATGGTATAGTTCATCAATAAGGTTGGCAAACGAGTGTCCTGGCCCATAATCAGTTAAATCCTCATAATATTCATTTGGTACACCAGTAGTAAAGCCAATCTCCACCTGATCAAGATCTATGCATATGTCCAACAGTAGTTCCTCCACACAGTCAAGTTTTGTCCATAGGTGTCCCATGCCGATCTGAATCCGAACTCATGTCATGAGCCAATGATTGAAAACCTGGATCCCAATCCAAAGAGATCCATAAGGCACTGCTGGTCACCATGGAACTGAAGGTTCTTTTCTTCGTTAATCCATGCTGCCTGTAGCACTGTGACTAATTCTCCAAATATCCAACTGTTGGCCAACGGACCTCCTCAACTCAAGCCATCTGTAGGTAGATTGTTCTCCATGGATCAGAAGAATCCTGTGTTTAATGTCAGAGCACAACCCATTGCAGTGGCAGCTTTCCACAAAACATGCAGTTCGTGCAGTCAGATCCTGTACACACTGTAGCGAGGGGGTGGGACTGAAATGGCTCCTTCAGCCCACTGGTTTTCTGCTCCTCAGAAACTCCAATGTTATGGGCTGCAAGGTATTCTCGAGCAGCAGCTTCATTCTCTCCTGATGACTCTTTGTCAATTTCTCTAACATAGACAATGTTATGTGTGGGGGTGGTTTGGGAAGGAGTCAGTGTCAGAGAGGGATTTAGCTCCCTTCTACTTATCAGCCAAGTAGCCCTTGTCCGAGGAGAAAGACTGGCGACTTCCTTCTTGGCTGTCTCTTTCGCTAAAGACCATACACCAGGGGAGCACACTCCAACATTGGATCTACTCCAAGCAGGAGAAGGCCTGACACTTCCAGTAGGAATCATGAGAGTCATCAGAAATTTTGAAATGCCCAAACAAAGTACATGCAGGTGGAGCTGGGAATGTCATCTAGGTCAGCAACACAATACCTAATCCTCAAAAACCATGCAAGTGAGGAATGATCTGTTGGACAAACGCAGGCTGTTGATCTGTATTACAGTGTGATAAGCAACCAAGTAAGTGCTGTGTACAACTTCAGAAAAAAATAATTAAATTGACTCCTTTTTCTCGATGTCGACATGAGCACACTCAAGAAAGTATTGAGGTATCCTGGCAGTGAATGCGCAGGATTCATGCTGGAGATACTCACAGTAATTTAACTACTTATGGATAGTCAACAGTGAAGAGAACATCTGTTGAAAATCTCTTGACTTTATAGTGTGATAACAGCCAAAATACAAGAACTATTGGGCTGATGTAATGGAGGTTTTATATTCGCATGAATAATGGGCAACTCACTGGCAGCTTCTGACAGGGCACTGTTATCATTAGCATCTGCACACTCCACCAACGCAAGCAGATGTTTGTTTCTGATGGCAAGACCATTGACATCATGACCAACGTCAGCCTTGTCATCAAGTTCAGATACCTATTGAAGAGACAGCAGTAATTAACTGGAAATGAAAGGACACTTATAACCATTAAACTATTTAGTAGCAAGTGAAGGCTTTACATAAAACAAATGACTAATGAAGCCTTTGTGCATTCAGCAAGACTGGTTAGCTATAGGTTAATTATGAAGGATCTGACACAACCAGGTACTGACATAGTGTTTGAGCTAAATTATTCATGAAAGAGAATATTTGGTTGCAACTAGATCCTACTTAGAGCCATGGCAACTCACCTCTCTGATTATAGCCAATAGTTCCTCGTTGTCTCCATCAAATGCTGCCTCAAGGACTCGCTTGATTCTTTTTCTTTGTTCAGCCTTTTTCTTCCTTTCCTCTTCTTCTATCTGTCTCTCCCTTTCTGCCTCTTCCTGTTTCATCTTCACCAGCTTCACAAATGCCTGGATCATGAAGCAAGATCAATATTAGGATCAACATCCCACCACTCACACACACCTGTACCTGTGTATTGTGCTCTATTGTTGACAGTGAGGATATATGAGTCATTATAAAGAAAATGACAACATTATTGTCCTGGACCCAAACAATCATGGAATGACAAAACCCATTAAAAACCAAGAGATATGTTAGATCAATGTCTTGTGTATCTATAGAAACATAATGCCAAAATCTGCAAACGTCTTTGTCGCAGTAAGAAGAATTTGAAGATTTACCTTTTAATAACTGCAAAAACATTCTTACAGTTATATTTTGGATGGCTCAAAATAGAAAAACTCAAAATAAAATAGTCATGTAGTTTTGTTTTGTGAGTGAGTGAGTGAGTGAGTGAGTTGGGTTTAACGCCGCTTTTAACAGTATTCCAGTCATATCGCGGCGTGTCAGCTTAATGTGGGAGGAAAGCCCGAAGTGATGCATGTCTCAGACGTTTACCACTTCGGTGAAACCCACGAGCACGGGTATGGTGCTGACAAACCTAGAAACATAATTGGGGCGAACCGGGATTCGAACCCACAATCATAGGTTTCTGGCGTGCCCAAGGGACGCAACTCTGCACAGCGAATCGCGGCGCCTTAGACGACTGGGCCCCCGTGCCCCCCTTTTGTTTTGTGCAAAAAGCAGGAAGTTTCTTCTGAAAAAAATGAAAGGCCAGGGTCCACAATGATTTGTCTTTCCAGTAACACCTTCTGAAAAAACAAAAAATATTGAGACCTCCCTTGTGACGACCAAAAATTATTCCTATCATGCTCGGAGGATGCTTCCAGCAGAGAAATTTGCTATGTGGGGTTGCTGTAACAAAATGTGTCCATCCTTTTAGAGTGTTTAGTACATTTATAGAAAAATCAATTATTTATTAGATTTATGCTAATAGTTACAACATAATTCTTTACCTAATGTTTAACACTTTTTCATCCATATACATGTTATTTAAGCATAACAAGGACAAGGACCAAGGAAATAAAGAGCAGAGAGACAGAAACTGGAAAGGGGCAGGGATAAAGAGAGACGGCCATTGTGGAATTCTGAGACATAAAGAGACGGATGGTGGAGTAAAGAAACAGGAAAAGGCGGATTGTGGAGTGTAGAAACAGAAAAAAACGGATTGTGGAGTGTACAAACAGAAAGGGAAAGATGGTGTAGTCGAGAAACAGAGAGAGAGAAGGATAGTGGAGTGGAGAAACAGAAAAAGACGGGTGGTGGACGATAAACAGAATGACACATATGGTGGAGCGGAGAAACAGAAAAAGACGGGTGGTGGACAATAAACAGAATGACACATATGGAGGAGCGGAGAAACGGAAGGAGATGGATGATTGAATGGAGAAACAGAATGAGACGGTTGGTGGAATGAAGAAACAGAAAAAGACGGATGGTGGAGTATAGAAACAGAAAGAGAAAGAGAAGAAACAGATAGAGATAGATGGTGGATAATAAACAGAATGACACATATGGAGGAGCGTAGAAACAGGAAGAGAAAGATGGTGTAGTCAAGAAACAGAGAGAAGGATAGTGGAGTGGTGTAACAGAAAGAGACAGATGGTGGCATGGAGAAACAGAGACAGATGGTGGAGTGGAGAAACAGAGAGAGACAGATGGTGATGTGGAGAAACAGTAAAAGGCAGATTGTGGAGTGTAGAAACAGAAAGGGAAAGATGGTGTAGTCGAAAAACAGAGAGAGAAAGATAGTGGAGTGGAGGAACAGAAAGAGAAGGATAGTGGAGTGGAGGAACAGTAAAAGGCACATTGTGGAGTGTAGAAACAGAAAGAGAAAGATGGTGTAGTCAAAAAACTGAGAGAGAAGGATAGTGGAGTGGAGGAACAGAAAAAGGCAGATTGTGGAGTGTAGATAATGGAGCGGAGAAACAGAAGAAGACAGATTGTGGAGTGCAAAAACAGAAAGAGAAAGATTGTGGAGTGTAGAAACAGAAAGAGAAAAATGGTGTAGTTGAGAAACAAAGAGAGAAGAATAGTGTAGTGAAGGAACAGAAAGAGAAGGATAGTGGAGCAGAGGTATAGAAAAAGATGGTTTGTGGAGTGTAGAAACAGAAAGAGAAAGATGGTGTAGTCGAAAAACAGAGAGAAGGATAGTGGAGTGGAGAAATAGAGAGAGAAGGATAGTGGAGTGGAGAAACAGAATGAGAAGGATAGTGGAGTGGAGAAACAGAATGAGAAGGACAGTGGAGTGGAGGATCAGAAAAAGACGTATGGTGGAGCGGAGAAATAGAGATTACTACACGAGAGTCTGTCAGATACAATTGATCTTACAACAAGAAGTTGTTTCAAAACGTATCTAATGAGCAAAAGCGAGTTAGATACGCTATGTAATGAGTTGTAACATCAATGGTATCTGACAGGCACGATTTCAGTAATCTGTTTCTTACACTCCCTAAAATCACACCTTTTTAGCATTGAATCGATGCATTTTGTCTATTCTCATGATCGCAGAACCGCATATATACATAACACCACTGTCATAAGTGACGTCATCCTATGTAATGCCTACTACTAAAAAATAATGTGCCCCTACACAAAAAGGTTTCCGCCATATCTGTGGATTATCAAGGTGATGATGATAATGCAAACTAGACAAAAACAAAGAACACACAGGATACCGAGTTAAAAGTTTACACCTCAAAGAAATTACCAAATATGTACAACAATGTTTACTTCAGTATGACATCACTACCGGTGACCGACTTTTACAAAATGGCGTGTTCACTGACAACAGTATGCGGGATTTCCAGAGAAGGATTTTCGTTGATTGAGGGATCGTATATATACTCACATGCAAAAGAAACGCAAGTGGTTTTAAGCAAATAGGTAACAAACACGGAACCATAAATTGATACGAGTTTTAGCATGTAGTGAAGCCTGATGGTGTTATCAATACTTTTGGTTGCATTTTGGAAGCCCCGTGTAAAAACGCAACATAAAAAACGCATTGCCGAAACGCACCATTTCAATGAATATGTGGGTATCATGCACCCATTTCTAGTGAAATCGAAAATGCACAAACTGTCACAAACTGTCACAAACTGTAGTGGGTATAAAACTGTGGACGATTCTTGGACCTACCACTCCTTGGTCAACATTGCCACGCATAACTCAAATTCAGAGAAACCAGGCTATCGGACGTTTGGAAGCTGGAGAGTCTGTCCAAGATGTTGCCCGTCATTTCAACGTTAACATAACCACAATTTACCGTCTCCTGCATCAATACAATGCTACACAGACCACAGATGACTTCCTCGGAGAGGTCGTCCTAGGGTCACCACACCTTGACAAGATCGGCAGATTACCCGTCAACACCAGCGACATCCTTTCCTAACAGCAAGTGAAAGTGCTCGACAGACCATAGGAACACATAATCGACACATTAGCCGGGACACTGTGATCCGACGTCTCCGCTCCAACAACCTCAGATGTCGCCGACCAGCACGTCGTCCTGTTCTCCAACCATGGCATCGACAAGCACGACTTCAGTGGGCACAGGGTCATCACAATTGGCGTCATCGTGAGTGGAGGCATGTCATCTTCTCTGATGAAAGTCGCTTTTGTGTCTCCCATGCAGACGGAAGAGTCAGAAATTGGCGGAGTCAAGGTGATCGTTTTGCTGACAGAAACGTTGTGGAAAGGGATCCATGGGGTGGACCTAGCATCATGATATGGGCAGGGATTGGACTTGATGCGAGACTTGGACCCATGTGCTTTCTGAATGTTGGTCAAGGTCGGGGACACGGCGTCACTGCTCAGTGGTATATCGACCAAGTGATTAGACCCCACGTTGTTCCATTTTTTGCACAACATCAACAACACATTTTCCAGCAGGACAACCCTCGTCCCCATGTTGCCAGAACTACCATGGCCTTTCTGCAACAACACAACATCCGTGTTCTACTGGGGCCAGCCCTCAGCCCTGATCTGAACCCCATCGAACACTTGTGGGATGAGGTTCAAAGGCGTCTGCACAATGTGCGCCCAGTCCCTACAACTGCCTATGAACTACGTCTTCAGTCAAATTTTTGTCAATCTTGCCCTATTAGTTTTTCTTGTCTTTACTGTTGAAAATAAATAACATGTATACTGCATACTAGACTTGCGTTTCTTTTGCGTGTGAGTATACATAAATGTGTCACATAAGTAATCAGAAACATTCTGAAATTTGCGTATTGTTATTTGTTTACCATTTTTTCCAATGTAACAAAGGGAATTAATCAGAAATGCAGATAACTACCATCGTCATTGTGCATGATTTATCGTCAGTCATGGCGTCACACAGGACTGAAACTTTTACGGTTTCTATTCAATTTACCAAATCATTGTAATGCATATATTTGAAATACCATAATTAGTGCAATGATACTCTTCCCATGAATATTCTCAAACGTGTGATTGAGCCAATGTATGCAACAATTAGACAAGAGTACCTCTAAAAATGCTACACAGTGTAATTTTGCTTTGTTTACATTTCAGCAAGTACAGTTTTCCGGGCACAGTGTTCGTTTCAATACCTAATTTATTTCGCATGATTTCATCTAGATAATTTGCATTGGTGACAAAGGCCATTTGTCATTTGTTTCTAACAAGTATGAGGAATTCAGGGATGCATGTAAAGCAGCTGAGTTTGAAATATACCTGATCGAATAGGCGTCTCATAACCAGCATTTTGTAAACACAATCCAATTTGGCGGAATGTACACTTCGGCGTTCGTGTATGCGTATTTTCCAAAGCATTCTAAAACGATTCTAGGCCTATAAGCGACGTTTCTGAATTATCATTAGGGATTTCATACCCGTAATCACTGATTATGTGCTATTTTTCTACTTTAATTATTTGAGTAAATATCCAATATTATGATTTTTAAACACACATTAGGCTAAATATCACCGTGAATTGTGATTTGGCAAGATTTATGATGTACCTTATTTTCAGAAGTCACTT